AACTACCAGAAGTCCAGGCTGGTTTCAGAAGGGGTCGTGGTACTAGAGATATTGTAGCTGATGTTAGATGGATCTTGGCTAAAAGCAGGGAATACCAGAGGAATGTCTACCAGACTTAGACACATTTAAAGCTAAAGTAATTAAGACAGTATAGTATTGATTTAAGGATAGATCAGTTAACAATTATCTATTAATGATCGCTTAAACAATGAAAAACATGATAATATTTTTTTGAAAGGTGGAAAAAGAAAGAATGAAGAAGACCCACAATTCACATTCCCTCCTTTTCTTTCCTCCTTTTTTTTGTGTCTTTCTACTAATTTTTGATGTTTATTGAGTTACTACTATGTCCTAGGCATTGTATTTGAGACTTGAGACAGAATGACAAATATGGAAATTGAGTTTCACCTCATGGAATCACAAAATAATTTCATATTTGAAAAACAGACCGATTTGATGAGAGAATTCACCTTTAGGTAGCACTGTTAAAGGCATCTCGGAGGAAAAGATGTGTTGAGTTGGGCCCAGAAAAATGAGGCTGGATGATCTTAGTGGAACGTTAAGAAAAATGCATTTAGGCAGAGGGGGGAAATCCACAAAGATTCACAGTAAGGAAAAGTTCTGTTATGGGCTATAAAGAGAAAGGAGTCCTTTCTGACTGAAGCCAAGGGATGAAGACAGAGATCAGGATAGGGTTTAATTATGCAGGACTTTGTAGACCACAGTAAGTACTTTGGCTTATTTTAAAAACACTGCCATCCGTAATGCCAAAGAATTGGAAGGAAGTGATGGCCGTTATCAGACTTACGATTGGTAGGGAGACCAACTGCAAGGCTACCACAGCGGTTCCAGGACAGACAGTTGAGGCTTACATTAATGGGTAAGGAGTTGTGTTGACAACTCCAAAGATAGGTAGTTTGAACCCAGCAGCTGCTCCATGGGAGAAAGATGGACAATCTCCTCTCGTGTGATTTACAGCCTCTGCAAACCATCTGGAGGGTCTGCTGAGTCACTTCTGACTTGGCAGCAATGAGAAAGAGAGGGAGAGAGAGTAGTAAAATGAAGGCAGGAAGAAGTGGATAGATTTTAGGTGTATTTTGGAGTTACAATAAAAAACCCTGAAGTTGGATTTCAAGTGGTGGATGCAGGATATAGAAAGATCAGGGGTCAATCTTTATTTTGTTTTTTGGTTTGTCCAAAAGAGCAGATGGTGATCCTAGTAAACACACTGAGGAGATGTGAGGCAAGGGTGAGGGAGAAATCTCTGTAGAGAAATCAAATTTGTAGTTATTACTAGATATCCAATTGAAGAGGACATGTATGAAGTTACACATAAAACTCTTTGGCTCAGATCATATAGTTGTCAATGTACACTTGAAATTTACAACTCTTCTGAAGAACCACTGTGGATGAAAAAAGAAAAAAATATCCGTGGAAATCCTAAATAATAGACAGAAGGACGAAGATGGAGCTTAAAAAGCAACCAAAAAGGACTATCTGTTGAGGTCTGAGAGGATGGGATGGTTAAAATGGTCAGACCTGTTGAGAAATTAAGGTTAGAACACAGAGGAAATTTTGGAGTTTGCAACAGAAAAGTCATGGGTGGTCTTATCTGAGCGGAGCATTCAGGCGTGGAGGCAGAAGCCATGGCAGAGAAGGCTGAGGGGGATGGGAGAGATGAGAGGGTCAAATGTCACCTACTGGAGAGATTTTGATAATAAATGTACAGCGAAGTGAGGCTGTACCTGGAGAGTGGTGTGCGAGGAGTTTGACCTTCTTTTGTTTTTTAAGATTCAGCCTATTTTTAGAATGCTGTGAGTTGTTAATTAGCGAGTGATAATGGAGGGAGTGAAGGTTTGGGGACCAGAATCCCTGAGTGGGGACTAGTCTATAAAAGGAGCAGAGACACTTCTATTATCTAGAAAGAAATACAGACAAAGAGTGTGCGTATAGGTCCACGGAGAGACATGGTGGTGGGTTGAAGGTGTACTTCTCAGGAGGCTCTTTATTTTCCTGGTTCAGTATAAGGACAAGACCTGATTAAGATCAGCCGAGAGTGGGGCTGCAGGAAAGAGGAAAAGTCATAAAACAGTCCCCCTGAAGTGTAGGAAACGAATCATCTGGGAGGATGATCACCCACAGAGGAACAGTGGCTTTGAACCATATGCCTTCAGGATTGCAGTGCAGCTTCTTGCCACTAGGCCACCAGAGAGCCCCTGTAACTAGGTAACTCAGATCTTATTAAATACGGTGAGGCTGCCAGGCTGTGTTGAGAATCCATTTGAGCTGTGTAGTCAGAATTCTTTAAAAGAAAGCTAATCATTTGGGTTGTGATTTTTCTCTAGGAATATCCACAGCTCAGGGGTGGAGGGGAGATGTTTGTGTCCACCTGTAGAGGAGGACTTGCCAAGCATGAAACGTAAAAGGGCAGAGGGAAAAGGAAGCCGAGTTCATTCTTAGTGCAAAAATATTATCTATAGGCCATTGAATCTAGGTTGGGTTAATGAGCAAAGCAGAGGTGGTAGAAGAGATAGGATAGGTCTGTATGACCATTGTGAGTTGATGAGCACGATAGGGTTTATTGTTGCGGTTATGTGCCGTCAAGTTGCCTGCAACTCATAGCGACACTATGTACAACAGCCCTAAACCTATTCTGTGGCCCTATTCTGTGCCAATCTCACTGTCACCTACACACCTACCCTGATGACCCCAGTCACTGAATCAATCCACTTCATAGAGGGTCTTCCTCTTCTGCGCTGTCCCTCCACCCTCCCAAGCATGATGTCCCTCTCCAAGGATTGGTCTCTCCTTGCAACAAGTCCAAAATAGGTCAGTTGAAGCTTAAGAATCCTTGCCTCCAAGGAGAAGCCTGGTTTAACCCTCTATAGGATGAACCTCTGGAAGCAGGAGCAGCATCCACTTCCGAAATGGCTTGCCTCCTGAAACTCTATGTACTCAGGCTGTTCATTCATAGGGTCGCTATGAGTCATCTATGACTCGACAGCATCAAACAACAGCAACAGGATGAACCTGTTCATTTACTTAGCAGTCCATGGTATATTCAGTGCTCTTCTCCAACACCACAGCTCAAAGGCATCAATTTTCCTTCTGTCGTCCCTAGTCATTGTCCAACTCTCTGACGCATAGCAAGTGATAGCAAAGACCATGGCCTGTATCAGGCACACCTTAGTCTCCAGAGTGACACCATTGCTCTCCAGTACTTTGGAGAGGTCCCTAAAAGCAGACTTTCCCATCACAATATGTCTTTTAATTTCCTAGCTGCTGGTGCCAAATGGTAGGATAAGGAAAGGGAAAGCAGGGAAGCATATAACTCCACTGATGACCAGGTTGTGGAGAAAATCTACTCTTTTTGCTACATGGTGCTTTACGCTTCATCATGATGGATTAGCCTGGTGACAGCAGCAATGAGCACATGTGTCAGAGACTGTAAGGATGGCACAGAATAGGACAGGGTTCAGATCTGTGGTTCATAGGTTCACTATGAGACTCGATGGTACCTAACAACAACAATGACACAACAATCCTTCATGGAACCAGAGCAGATGTAGCACGTAGACCTTCAAACACCAAGCTTGTCACGCCCCAACTATGCCAACAATGTTCATATGAGATTAAGAAATTAACTTTGAATCTTCTCAAGACACAGGAGCTCGATTTACCAGTGTTCTTGAAGGATATCTTACACTGGTCAGTAACTTAGGCAACGCTCTCTGTCTTTACCCTGCACTCAACTTGGCAAGAGACAACATTACCAGGCGGAAGGTCCGCAGCACTGACAGGCTCCCCTTCTTGGCCATGCCCAGCTCCATCAGGCTCACGGTGACGATGATGCAGTCGAAGATGTTCCACCTCTTCTGGAAGTAATAGTAGGGGTCGAAGGCAATGATTTTGAAAACCATCTCAGTAGTGAAAAAGATCGTGAAGACCTGTGGACAGAGACAAGCTCACATCACACTGGGATCTGCTGGGTTGAGAGGCAGTGACAAAGAAGGTGGCAGGAAATGCTTTGTTTTCAAAACAGCAGACCTTCTTACTTTGTTCTCATTCAATGTCTGCTATCTGCAGATTCCTGAAAGACTGAGAGGGAAGCACTTAATGTGGCAGAAGAAAGAAATCTCTGAGCCCGGGCTCAGGGATCACTGTGCATTAGAACTCATGCCTCCGTTTTTCCACGTGAAATGATTGGTGGATTAAGCGGGCTAACAATCCTGAGGTTACCTATTATTATGTAAGTGGGTAAATGGGAAGTTTAGCAGCTCAGTACTTTTAAAAGCATGGATTTAATTTTAAATTCCATTAGGATATTAACAACATTAACAGTTGGTCACGGTTGTGCAGTTGGAACCTGCTCATAGTAGACTCACTAGTAGGTTTTCAAAGTGGTAAACTGCATGGAGGAGTTTGCATCTCTTTCTTCTACTGAGCTATTGATGGATTCAAACTGCCAGACAGACGTCTTCTTTGAATTAGCAGTGCCATTTCCTGCCTCAGTTAGTGCAGGAAAGAAAATATCTTAGTAAATTCATGATCTCTTCTATCAAATGATAAAAATAAAACTAAGAATTCTTCAGAAACTAGGAAGCAAAAAGAATATCCTTTTATATGTTAGTATTATGGACTGTTAGGTGTGCAAATGGTCTTGGAAATTCCACAGTAGCATTGTTTGTTTTTATGTGTCGTGAAGTCGGCATCTACTCATACGACTTTGATAGTGGTGATATATTGAAAGCTTTACCTGTGAAAAATACACGCAATGTCATTCTCAAATTTGAAAGATCAATATTGCAGTATATAAATTATTTTCCAAATGACATATAAAGTCACAATAAAATGCCAAACAAGAAAAAAAAGAAAGCACAGATTTAGGGGCTATGACCCCCCCCCTAAATGCCAACTCAGGCATTTCCTAGCTTGTAGGTAACCCATTGTCTCTCTGTCTCAACTGTATATGGGAATACAATGAAATAATGGTTCCCTCCCCAAAGAACCTGGCATTGGTAGTTGATGAACATGCAAGGCTTATGAAGAACAACAATAATAATACATTTCTCCAAGGTTCTTGTTAAGAGACCCTGGGCGGTGCTAATGATTAAGTGCTGAACCCACGCAGAAGTGCCTCAGAATACAGGCCTGGTGGGCAGCTTTTGAAAGACCATAACTTTCAAAACCCTGTGGACCAGTTCCTCTCTGCATGCAGGGTTGCATGAGTTAGAACTGACGTGATATTAATTAATAAGAAGGTTCCTTTCAGCTCTGAGGATCTTTAAGTTGTAAGATGAATAGCAGAGGAAGGACATAGATAAGAAACAAGAAAGCAAAGATCAAGATCAAGTGCTTTCCTCTCAGGTGATGTCATCAAAATCTCCAGCCTATGAGAGTTGATTACAGGCTGAGAATTGAAGTGATTTATTCAATGCCACGAGACCACAGTGGTGTAACTCAGAGAGCATCTTCTGAGTGTATTTCAAAGGCAAATGGGCATAGCAGGTGTTAAAGTTGGGGTGCTGGGTCCTGGGGAGACCTGGACCAACTCTGGCTCCATCCTCACCAGCTTTGCAGACCAAATAGATTTTTCCACCTCTCTTAGACCTAGGGCTTTCTTCTGTGAAGGTAGTGATGGTAACCTCAAGACATTTAGGAGACAGAGCTCTTGACTCATTGTAGACAACAAATAAATGCCTTTTTTATTAAAGGATGTTGTGCTCTGTCCCACGAGAGGGAGACCTTTTCTCTCCTTACCCTCAACTTCTTCAACTCTAACATGAGGGTATAGACCCAAAGGTCTCTTCTATAAGATCCTCTGGGGTCTTCTGCTGACTTCTCAGAAACAAAGTCTCCCTTGTTATTCTGGAGTCTCTTTTGACAGTCTCTCTAAATACAACGTGACCTCTTGACCCAGATGACCAAAAGGTAAGGCATATGGATCACAAGGTGTCCAAGATTGGCAGGAGTTCCTTGCATATCTCTGAATTAAGAAATGTGGAGAATTTCTAGGAAAGAGTATCATGTTTAGTCTGGGATCTCTCTTCTACCTAATTCTGCAGCCTAGAGGGCAGAAGAGTTGGAGGATTCTGGTAGACCTAGTAGTCTATCTCCAGTGGGAGAGACATTAGTATGGACAGGGAGGCAGGGTCCTGGCCTTTCCTACCTATGTTTTATTATGTACACACATCCATTCCCACACATGGACATTCCCATACGCAAACTTATACACATGGGTATAAATGCATAGTCACCTTCTCACATATATGCACTTCTAAGCATATTCTCATACACACACACACACACACACACACGTTTTGTGAAATCACTAAACTCAGGAGTTAAGATATGTTGGCTCTGGAGCCACCCAGTTGGGGTTCAAATCTCAGCCCTGCCACTTAGTCACCTCTGTGTCTTTGGACAAATTCTTTTAACCTCTTATGCTTAGGCATCTGTAGAAAGGGATTTTAATAGTACCTATACCGTGAGGTGGTTGTGAGAATAAAATGATAAAATCCATGAGAAGCACTTGAAACAATGGCCAGCCTAGAGTTAATCGTCTGGTAGAGCTGACTGTGTGAGTCCTGGGGTCCAGGGGTAGATCTGGAGGCATCCGTCTCCCTCTGAGTCAGAGATTTTACTCAGCGTGTGCCCAAATCCAGTATGGATTTTTGCCTGGCTAAAAGCAAGTAACACTAAAAATAATGGGGAAATTTCAAAAGTGGTGTCGAGTCTACACCAGATGCAAAAGACAAGTTCTAACCCCCTGATGCTTCATTAGGCCAGCAAACATGTTATGACTCCCTGCCACCGCCTTTCTCGTCTCTTCTCTTCCATTTCTCAAATTCTTTTTTTCCCCCTGAATTTACAGTGGTGAAAACTTTCAGCCAAGCTTTCCCCTCCCTCCCCTTTCAGTCATCAAAGGAAAGTAATAGAACTGGAAAGAAACTTACAAGCTCAAAAATTGTCTTTAGTTGGGAAAGGGACTTCTATCATCATTTCACGGCAAAAGCAATTTTGGGGCCAGAGAATTCAAGAGGGAACTCCCTGCTGCTAGCTGGGGGCTCTGCCCACTTTCTTGTGTTCACTCATTCCAATCCAATCCGCTTCAGCTCAGCCTGGTTCCCAGGTTTGGCTTCACTCCAATGCTCACACATCTCCCTCACTATGCTTTTGCTCTCGGTGAACTAAGTCAGTGCTGCAATGAACGAAGGCGCGCTCCCACCCCACTCCGAAGCCCCCCCAGGCATGCCCGACACGGTGCACTCACAATGTTGCCGATCTGCAGCATGGTTTCGAAGCCTGGGCTCATGCCGTGGTGCTCCATGGCCATAAAGACGGTGTTCACCACAATGCACAAGGTGATGGCCAGCTCCGCGAACGGGTCCGTCACAATCTCAAAAAGTCGTGTCTTGAGCTTCTTCCACGTGGCGCAGCACTCCCAGATCAGGTACTTCTGAGCCAGGTTGGTGAAACAAGGCGGGCATCTCCGCTGAGGCTCCCCGAGTTCTGCATCACACGAGGACACTTGTCATTCGTTCAGCACCTCAGGACCTCATCCCATCGTTACCTCATCATGATCCTTGCCCTGCGTCTCCAACACTTCACCTGTGTTTCCTTCTCTCTGATGGGTCGTGGCTAACTTTTGAGATTCTTAGCCCCAATAACTCCAATCCAATCCAGATTTAAACTAGAATCAGAGACAACCCTGTGGTTTTGTTATTACGTGCTGTTAAGTTGGAACTGACTCATCGTGGACCCTCTAGCAGGTCTTCAGAGACTGGAAATAGCACTAGAGGAAATCACCATCTTTCTCCCATGGAGCAGATGGTGCATTTAAACCACTTGCCTTTGGGTTGACAGCACAACCCTTTACCCCTTAGGCCACAATAGCTCAATCAGACAGTCCTAGGGAAAATAAATGGGTCAGATTCACTTAAACCATCATTCAGTCCTTCAAAACACGGACTATAATTTTATTTTTTTACTGCCCATCACCTATGGCCTAGTGGTATCAGCTGCACTACTATGCAAAAGGCACACCATGGGAAGCCAATACTAAGTGCTGTTGTTGTTGTTGTTATGTGCCATCGAGTCGCTGCAACTCATAGCGACCCTATGTACAACAGCTCTAAACTCTGCTCTGTCCTGTGCCAATCCACTGTCTCTGACACACCCATCCAGATTACCCCAGTCACTGAATCAATCCACCTCACAGAGGGTCTTCCCCTCCTGCGCTGTCCCTCCACCCTCCCAAGCATGATGTCCCTCTCCAAGGGCTGGTCCCTCCTCGCAACATGTCCAAAGAATGTTAGAGGGAACCTCAGAATCCTTGCCTCCAGTGAGCCACCTGGTTTAACCCTTTCCAGGATGAATCTGTTTGTTTTCCTAGCAATACTAAATATTTGTAATAAACTGAATGCTATCTCAAGATGTGAAGGAGGCGTGGTTCAAGCTAGAATTTACTCTGAGGCACCAAGGCAATCCTTAAGGGTTTACCAGAATCTTGCCAATCTCCTGAGACCGGAGGAAGGTTTTCAATAGAAAGAGCTTGGCTTCATTTGCATTGAATTCCTTGTGATTTACTTCCTGATAATTTTCAAGAAAGGTACAGGGAAGCTGGAATGGGGCTCTTCAGTCGAGTGCTCCTGGCCTCCTGTTTTTCATGCTCTCTGCTCTAGCTCATTGCTGGCTGGCTGTCCCATTATTAATAATGACAAAAATACTTTACCCTCAGTCTGCAACAGCACACAGTTCAAACCCACCAGCTGTGGGGGAAGGATGGGAAATCTCCTCTCATGCAATTAACTGCCTTGGAAAGCCTGCTAGAGGGTCAGTTATGGATCAGTTTGGACGTGATGGTACACAACAACAACAACAACAACATCACTTATATCGTGTTCTTGGTTCTCAACTTGCCCATTCCTCCTTGTGCATTCCTATTCCTCTAACTACACTCTCATAGACAACTTTCATTCCCAGCTCCCCTCCTCTCCATGGTGCTTGCCTGGCAAAGCCTCCCCCTTACATATACCCAGGTTGTAGCCACTGCCTGCACCTAGCAATTGAACCTGACTGGAGAGAAGTCCACAGCCATGTTAATTACTCCCACTGCAGCCCACAATCTCCAGCTTGTCACTGTCCAAAAGTCCTCCCATGTTGCTGTGTTCAGTCCAGTCTCTTACTCTTCTAGACGATCATTTCTCACCTCTCCCTCTCTCCTCCTTGCCATTGCCTTTCCACTCCATACTCTCTCTTTTATTTGGCTTACAAGATAGAATCACTCATGTAAGAATGGCTTTATCTTTCTATCAATTACTAAGTCTATACCATACCTGCAAGTGCATCCACAGACGTATGAAAACTTTATATTTTAAGAAAAAAGAAACAATAGAAATAGTCGAAGAAAACATGTATGCCTATTTTCCTAGCTCTATAGTAAGAACATTTTTCTTCTTGTGCTTCTATCGTTTCTTTGTCTAAATGTACAGCTTTGGTATATCTAGAGTTTATTTTGTGGAAGAAGCGAAATAATGATCTAGCCTATTTTTTTCCCTAATCTCTGGTCAAGGATGCTTGTACTATCTTTAAATCTTCTCTCTTATTTTGCATGACTGTACGGGTCCTTGGAGAGGGACATCATGCTTGGGAGGGTGGAGGGACTGGTGCAGGAGGGAAGACCCTCTATGAGATGGATTGATTCGGTGACTGGGGTAATTGGGATGGGTGTGTCAGAGGCAATGCGATTGGCACAGGATAGAGCGGGGTTTACAGCTGTTGTGCATAGGGTTGCTATAAGTCACAGACGACTTGAGGGCACATAACAACAACAACAATACATATGTGTCAATTTCTGGACTCTTCATGGCTTATTATCACTATTTTAACTACTTACTCTATATTTATAATCTTCAAAACATTTTGTTAGATAAAGCCAAAGGAAAACAACAGTGAAAAACATTTGCATTTCATACCACAGACAAAAATGCCCATTGTTTTAACATATGAGAGCCTTTAAAGATTGACTAGGAAAGAAAAACTCATTAGAAAAATTATTCGACGGTCCCAAAATGAAAAGTTCAAGTAGTTTATAAATATTTCAAAAGACGTACAACAACATTCAAAAGTAAGGAAATTATTAAGATATTGTCACTAATTAGATTTACAAAGTCAAAACAGTGTGACCATGGTATGGTCTCAGAGACAATCTCATGCAACATTTGGATGAGCAAAAACTGGGTAGGGCACTCTGGTGGCCTAGTGGCAAGAAGCTGCACTGCAATCCCAGAGGAACACGGTTCAAATCCACCAGATGCTCTGCCGGAGAAGGAGGTGCAATATCCTCCTGTACCAGTCAGATCTGATTTGACAGTACATGCACACAAAATAAAAAAAATTAAAAAAAAAACAAAACAAAACTGGGACTACACTTATGGAGGGGAATATAGTGTTATCTTTCAGAATTAAAAATAGGAATCCCATTTGACAAAGCAATTTTAGTATAAGGTGTTTCACCAAGAATTAAACTCACATGTGTGTTGCATCTATAAGGCTGTTGACTGAAAAGTTTACTTCTCATCCAGAGAAGACTGGTCAAGTCAAAGAATTGATTACACATTCAGATAATGAAATGCTAATAACTAAGGAGAGAATGAAGGGAATTCTGGTAGCAAAGGAGCTCTGGTGGCCTAGTGGTAAGACACTGCTGCAATCCCAAAGGCACATGGTTCAAATCCACCAAATCTCCTGCTTTGCAGGAGAAGGATGGCAATCTCCTCCCATGTGATTGATTTATTGACTCTGAACACTTGCTGGAAGATCAGCTATGGGTCGGTTCTGACTCACCAACACACACCACCACTGCCAACTGGTAGTATAGTCCACAGGGTATTACACTGTGCTTTTCTGGTGGTTCAAATCTACCAGTAGCTCTGAGAAAGAAAGATGGGAAATCTCTTCTAGTGAAATTTACATCTTTGGAAACACAACAGAGGGCCAGTTATGAATTGGTTCTAACTCAATAGCAGTGGGAGTGTATTTTATAAAAAATTGATGCAAAATTATTTTCAACATACATGAACTAATCTAAGCATAATATTATAATTGAGTATGTTACGTGCTAGCATTTATGAAGAAGAAAAAAGAACTACATATTTTTTGACTGAAAATACACAGGAATACACAAAATAATGAGGATATACAAAATAACTGGCTTGAAGATTGTTTCTGGGTAGGGAACTGAGTGGGCAGGAAGATTATCTGTCCCCTTTTCTATTTGCCCCATTGTAGCTTTTAAATGATGAAAAAAATGTGTTGTCTACTGAAACAAAAACCAACTAGATAGAAATTTATAAAGAGATCCTATTTTTAAAATAGTGGACTAAATAACATGCTGCCTCTTGGGTTCCCAGAAATCACCAAAAACATCAGGAAACCCACAGGGAATGCAAACTCTATTTTGATCAAAGTAGGAGACATCTGCCAACTCACCTAATTCATGTGTTGTTATTTGCTGCTGAACTGATTCCAGCTCATGGTAGAGGAGACATGTGCGCCATAGAGTTTTTGAGGCTGTGACTTTTAGAAGCAAGATCATTAAATCTTATTTCTTCGATATCTTTAGGTGGGTTTGAACCAGCAACCTTTTGGTTAATAGTGCAATGCCTTATCTTTTAGGGCTGTCATAGTAGTAAAAGCCAATCGGGGTGCAGGAGGATGCTCAGAGGAAGCACTGGAAGCTTCAGCTAACAGCCTGGCAAAGCTGTTAAAGCCCTAGAGAAGTTGGCACATCCTGGGACAAACTCAACCATCGCCTAGCTGGAACAATGACAAAGAGGTTCTTTGGACCTATTTGGAAGGAGTGTTGGATGAGAAATCTTGCAGACCTGTCAGTTTTGAAGGGAGCAGCCTGTCTGTGAAGGAAAATGGCAACGGAAACTCAGCCTTGTGCACAGTCTTTGCTAGCTTAGAACAGGATCTTGATTCTTCCCCAAAAGCGTCCTTGGAAAAAAGCAAATCTAGCAAGAATCTTCTTTCTCCTCTTGCTACAATTCAAGAGGTGCCCCTCTTCCTATGAAAGGTGAATGCCTCTCCTTACGTACCTCTCCTGCTTCAACAGGAATCTGTTGGATAATCTCTTTCCTTCATCTTTTAATCTCTCCCATTCACCAATGTCCTCTCCATTAGCATGTAAATATGATCAAAACAAAAATCCAATAATAAAAGAGAAACCTAAAGTCATCCTTCAATTCTGTATCTTTATAATTCTTCCCATTCAGGACCAAACTTTTGGAAAAAACTGTATATTCACAATCTTGTATCTTAATTTCTTCATGTCTCTCTCATGCACTCCTCAACATCTTCCAATATGTCCTTTGTTTATGACTGTTTGTGCTCGGGGGGGTCTGGTGGGCTAGTGGGTAAGGAGTTACACCTCCAGCTCAAAGATATGTGGTTCAAATCCATTAGCAGCTTTACATATGGGAGAAAGATAGTGATCTCTGTGCAAT